TAATATTATCATCTAATAAGACATGCATAGACTATTAAGGTTTATTTAAATAAAGTATCATTATTATCATCATCATCATCATTATTTTTATTATTATATTATCATATATCTTTTTCTTTTCATTACTTTTTTTAGGGTGTCATGTTATTTCATATTACTGCAACTCAGGTCGATTAACTCTGTACATCAATAACGTTTATGACTAACAACAAATTCACTACACTGGAAGTGTGCCAGTGAGACATTAAATGCTTCTTGAATTTCTAAACAAATAATTTTTCAAACATATTTCATGTATTTGGATTTTTTGTTTTGATCTGTTCTGCAGACTGCAGTCTGCGTTTGTTGCACACTGGGTAAAATGCTGGTCTCTCAACTTTGGGGTCTAGGGTTTTGAGTCCTTGTTTCCCCATGTGAGCTTGAGTTGGTTGGCACTCTTTATGACTCCAAGGGTTTTTTGGCCCTTTGCTTTTCCTCCCTCCCCCAAATCAACACTAACTAATTCAAACTGGTTAGAGCTGTGGTCTGGGGTTATGCAAGGACTGTGTAGTGGCTGCCAGAGGAGCATTCACATGCTTTCAGTTGGACTCCATCGAGATGCACCACTGCCGTACTTTGTGGTAGTGATTAGCAGTGACACGTTGGTTAGAGCTTTCGTATCTAGTCTATAAATCATGAGGAATGAGTAGTATAATTTTATTGTATAGTATCCCAGGTCCAGTGGGACTTTACGGTTTACTTCATACCATGTGGATTAGAAGCAAGCCGTAACATATATCTCTTAGTCAGTAGATATAGATTTACTGCAGTATACTCACACCAGAGCTCAATTTGGAAGATAAAACAATCAAAGCTTACTTTACAGAGAATCATTTTATTAAGGGAATTAAGCAAGGGATTAGTAACTTGCAGCCTGGTAACTAACTGTTGCAAAAGGTCTATAATTAGTGTGATATGATTGTACTTGAATTTGATAGTAACCTTAGCTAACCACTGTACTACTAACCATAACTACAGGAATGAGAAGGATTGTGATGAGGAAACACAAAGCAGCAATTTGACTCCAGAAATCAAGAGACATATAGCCAAAAAATTGTCATCTTATCTAGATGGGTAAGTCTTTGACTCTATTTTAAAGTGATATTTTTTTCACTTTATTTCATATCTTGCTCTAATATATGTTTCTCTTCTCTTGATTTCCTTACCACAAGGGTTTTTCTCTGTGCTCTCCAGTTTTCCTGACACCATAATGTAAATGCAATATATTTTACATTGATTCCAGGGAGTGATTGCTCAGTCTCCCAAGCTAAAGGCTCATGATTAAAGCACTTGATGTCAGATTGAATTAGAATTTAGGAGTTGACTTTCATAGAGGGAGGAAAGCCATAGAAAACCCCTTTAAAACATAGAAGAGAACAATAATATGAAGCAACCCTACTCACATACAACACTGAGCCAAGGAATCAAACCTGAGTTGCACTGGTTAATGGTTAGAGGCAGTGCATTAGCAGCACACAACATCTGTGCTTCCCTAATGTGCAGAAAGTAAGCTGAGTATTGTGCATTATAAATTGTGAACGTAGAGTTAGTTAATGTAGTGTGAACCTCACATATGGAAAAGCCGCTTATATGGGGAAGGACATTTGTAAAACATAAAGTTATTGATGAAACATGAATTGCAGCTGTATAATTATTTGTCTGGCTTAATACAGCATATTATATATTATCAATTATTACATTAAATGACACATTATGCAATGAGTGTGGCAATTTGGGCAGCTTTTATTAATTTTATTTTTGGTAGGTCTTACCTAGTTCATTGCAAGAAGAGTTACTTGTAGATATCCAAACCATTATGGGTTATAAAACTGATACTAAAAACTATTATCAACCTTAAAAACATTTATGGACATTGCTTTGTTGTTCATGCATTTTTACCACAAAAAGAGTGAATTTCCATTCAATCTTATGAATAAATAAATTCAGGCCTAGGGCAAACGTTGAACTTTCCATGCACCAAACTCATTATAAACAATGGATATCATGTGATAATGATGCAGCATTCTTTGAATTAATTAAGTTCAGTGCATGGAAAGTTCGACGTTCGCCCTAGGCCTCAGTGACCCCCTTTAATTTCTTATTACCTCATTGTACTTCCAGTTCATGTATGATAAGTACTTTTATCTTGCATTAGATGGAATATCTTTTGCCTGTGAACCTCTGATGTTGGGGTTGTGCATTGTTAAGTAGCATTACAATAAACCTTTATCATTTCTTTATCAAGAAGATTGAAGTTGTCCTTCAGTAGCATTGATGTGATATTTGTTTGTCAGTCTTTAAACTTAAAAGTAATATTAATTTCATATTGTTGCTTTTTCATAATTGATAGCTGTATTCAAATAGAAACTGGTTGCACCTTCAAACAAAAGAAAATAATGTCACAGGTTTCTGGCATACATTTATTTTGTTTGTCAAAAAACAAGCTCCTTGATGTGGAAAATGACTATTTGAAAGAAAAACAGCCCAAAACCCCAAAGCGGTCACACCAGTCTTCTTCAAGCTCGGAATCAAGGTAATGAAAATGTTTATTCTATTAAATTTCATTTTTCTGAAACTTTCAGAGAGAAATAGCTATAATTGATATCTTTGATGTAAAATATATGCTAACAGTCAGCATAATTACATTCATGAAACAGCCTGAAAACTAAGCCTTTTTGTTATTCACTGTTAACTTGTTGACTCATTATGATAATCTCAATTTTTTTTAGTGATGGATAAAAAACTTTACTTTTCATTTATAACATTAATTTTTTTCCTTTGTACCTTGAAATTCAATTCCTGCAAATGAAAATAACGTGTTAGCAAATATGCATTGTTTTTACAGTGACAATGAAGAAGACCTGACAAGGTTTCAGGAAGCCACTGTTTGTGGACAATCAATCATTGATAACAGCTGTCCATCTATTGGTAAGGCACATAAACAGTCTTCACTTTAAAATTGGATTTTCCTTCCATTATCACATTTTTGGACAAATATCCATTAATAAAAACTGTGTTTACACAAATATGTACATTATTTAATGATATGAACAAGTATGTACACAAATAGCATATATAACCTATTTCAAAAAACGTTGTCGGTGACGGAGATCTGAAATCTGAGACCGAAAGGAATTGTGGGTTGTAAGCTGTAAATTGTTTGTAGTTTTAATTAGTAGTTCGCAGAAAGTTAATATCTTGATATACTAACTTTGAGGGATGACCTGCGCTGGCAAACTATCTGGGTAAGTGTATATTGAATTTTGAATGAGAAAATACTCAGTCCTCCACAATTCCAATCGGTCTCAGATTTCTGATTTCAGATATCCAACTGACAATGTTTTTTTAAAATAGGTGTACAATAGGGAGGCATTGATTTGAGTCATTCTTGACCTAGCATCAAGGAAGTATAAACCAGATAAGAGAGACAGAGAAAAATAAATTGTTCCTGGTAAAAAGTACTTTGTTGCAAATTGTAAATTACCACACCTGCGGCTTTCAACTTTGATAAAAATTAATTTACAAGGAAAAAACTGATTATTTTAAGGTTTTCGCTAAGTCTTTAAAAAATAAACAAGATGTTATTACTATTTTATTGTGAAATGGTATTAATAAACAATATATAATATATATATATATATATATATATATATTATATAATCCCATGAGAACACACCAAGCAAGAACATAAATTCATGTGGTTTGGACTGAACTCCACAAGAACATAAATTTATGTGGTTCGCCCTGATTCTGTAATTCTGAATGGTTTTTCCTCCCTCCTCTCAAATCAACTCAAACTGGTGGCTCCCCAGGCCTGCAACAAGGACTGTTGGCCTGTCTATAGATGTTTCCTGAGTCTAACTTCAGAAATTTGTTTTTTAAAGATAATGGCGTTCACAGAGAGAACAGCAACAAAAAGAAGAAAAAGAAAAAGAAGAAAAAAGACCAAAACAAAGTTAAAAATAAAAATGTATCAGAATATGAATTTGATAATTTAAAAGACAGATGGAAAGAAAAATATCAAAATTGACGATAACTTGCAAAAATTAAAATGAGTACATGTAATAATGAACAGTTATAATAATTACACTTATTTCTTGTTTTAAATATGTGTTTATAGTAAGAAGACTCACTATAAATATTGAGCCTTGCCGGTATTATGTATAATAATGGGAGGTTCTTACATAGCTCATTTATACAACTTCTCAATGTGCTTTACATTTTTATGACCAGTGGAGGACTTTACTGGCTGCATATTGAGGCGCTATTAGCAGCCGTGCAGCTTACAATCATGAGCAAAATTAGTACATTAGTGTTATTCCTCCAAATTGGGAAAGGCTGTTGAACCAGGAGACAATCCCCTATGCTTACACCAATATTTCAACAGGTTCTTTTATGTCCCCCATTTACTGCAGGTTAGGAAGGGTTGGGAGACAGGGCCTACAGTTTAAGGTCCTTATCTGAGAAGACGTGAAAGTCTAAGCATTTTCAGCTATTATTACAAAGGCAGTACATTCTCAGTTATTTTAAGACCCTTAGTGTTGGACCGGCTGATGCTCTTACCATCTGAGCTAACCAGGTGGTGACAATGACAGGTGCCACTCATGGGAAAAGACAATGACAGGTACCACTCATGGGAAAAGATGGAAGTTCAGGGGATTTAATTTAGTATATATATATATATACTGAACTCGGCAAACACATCTGGACTCTCAAGAACAGTAATATCGGCTACTCCATTTTATGGCACGTCCTATCTCCAAGCTCCGCCTACAACAGCTCCAGCAAAAGATGTAACCTTTGYCTTAAAGAAAAGTTTCTAATAATCTATCGACCGGAACTCTTATCATTAAATAAGCGAAGCGAACTTGTATCTTCATGCCGCCACAGAAACAAAGCGTTACTACGCAACAGCTAAACTATATCCACTAATTAATTATGTATACTTTTTCTATATAAATGATAGTAACAAATATTCTTATCATTAAATCCCCTGAAGAGTGAAGCAATTCACGAAACAGGCTTGTCGGGAAAAATGTTGTMTTGACTTTTTCTTCTCAAACAAATATTCTGCTCTACTTCTATCGATGTATTGAGCACTATTTTACGGAAAATTGATTCACAGATGTCTTATATATATATCCAGAAACCCTGGGGGAAATAGAAAACGCGCACGCGTGCTGTATGCAGTTATAAAGCAAGCGGGGGTTGGCGGAACACGAGAGAAGTGTTAGGAGAAGCACAACGCATATCGGAGTGCTTCTCGAGTGTTCTGCCCAAGTGCTTTATAACTCCACACCACAGCAAGCAAGTTTTTATTTATTCTATAAGATACGAATTACAATAACCATTATTTTAGTGCACATGCGTACTGTGTGCTCTCACAAAGCACGTGCTTAAGACCAATGAGAATGCGAGAGAGCCTCAGAAATGCGATTTCCAATGTTTTAAGGGGCATCTGCAAGAGCATACGTTTTTGTGACCCTCCCTTTTTTCACTGCCTGTTTTTTCATGACCCTCCCTTCTCAGAGACTCGAAATTCATCACCCTCCATCTTTTCAGGGCTGTAGCCACAAATTTCTGATTGGTCCGGTTTTCGAGGGTTTTCAGTTTTTCATATATATTTTTTTATTTTTCTTATGTTTTTCCCCCCGAAAGTTGGTCCGGTTGAAACCGGACCCGTGACCGTACCGGTTGCTACGGCCCTGCGAGTTTTTCCATCTCCCCTCCTTATCTAAGTATCAGCCCTATTACAAATGTAATATTGAATTGCTATGTTAATAAAGGTACTATGAATCCTATAAAACATGAATAATATACACCTTTTACTGTATCTGCTTATTGTTTTAGCGATTCAGGCGTGATTAGTTCTTTCTCGGAAATTTGTCGTTTCTCAGAATGTTGATGACAAAAGTAACTCACTAGGGTGGACTATGGGTTTCCTGAGCGATTCGAGAAAATGTTAGGAAATAAATCGCTCTTTAACACAAGTCCAAAAATTTAAATAAAATAATTACTCACTTAAAAAGTGAAATAAGCAATACTATGACAAAAACATTGGGTAAATAATAATAAACTGTTGAAGTATAACTGCTGTCCATATCCCAGATAGTGATTACAAATGACGTAATGTCTATAAGTGGTCTCTTTCCCATGATTCAAGGCGCGGCTGTTTATCAAACCAACACCTTGAACAGACGAAGGCCATTTTTAAACCAGGAAGTTTGAACAGAGTTAGTTGAAATTCTCTGCAGATAACAGTACTAGCTTGAATTTAATTTCGAAAGATACGTTTTAGGACTATTTGTTTCTTAATCTAAGCTCTGAACGGTTTTAAAGATGCCAGCTAGGCCGAAAATCTCTGGATCGCGGGCAGAACAACAACCCAAATACGTCGAAATACCACCGTTAAGTCCACTGTCGGACCAAGACGTTCGTCCGCAGTTTGAGAAAATGGTGTCCTGCGATTTTTCCGTGGAAGAGTCATTTACAACAAATGATACTTGTGAGCAGGATATTATCAAGATTTGTGGTTTTGCAAAGAAGCCAGTCAGAGAAATATATCCTCCCTTTTCTCCAAGTTCTTGGTTCGACTCGAAAGATGAAGAAGCCGTTGCAGCGTACATGAAGATTCGCTTGGATAGTAAGTTTACATGTTTTCAGGATGATCCAAGTTCCTTGAGTGAAGAAAAGCAAGCGGCGTTCAAAAAACTTGATTTTGAGAGTGCTATTTGGAAGGTTGGTGCAGTGGAAAGCGAAAAATCTCGATCACCAACCGAACACGACGACAGAGACGAACCGAAGTCCATTGAAGATGTTGACTYAAACGAAGAAGTGGCTCCCTTGCTTGAAGACACACCACAGACATGCACTAAAAACCTGGAAGGTGAGTTCTTTAATATAAACTGAGTTAATTTTTATCGAAACAAAAATGTTACTCGTTGTGAAGGTAGAGAACCATAATTAATACCACACGTCCTGGATTTTGTTTCACTTTCATAAATTTGCATAGTAATTACCGAAAGTAACTTGTGTTAGGTAACCTTCACCATTCTTTTGTAAATATATTTACTATCTATATTTCTCCTTATTGTAATCTCTGGTACAAATAAAGTACATTGTATTGTATTGTACCCTCTACCTGTGGGTTAAAGTGAGCACAATAGTTCAATTTCACTGACGTTAGCCTAAAATTTACCCTTAAATATTGAAGATGATTGAATAAAAGGCCTTGCAACAGAGAAAAGTCTGCCATTTTGGCATACCTCTAGGGGAGGATGCAGGATTTTTTTCTAGGAGGGGGTGTGGAGACTTTCCTTGATGATACAAGCAAAATAGTCAACAAATGGTTTTGTGTGATGGGGAGTTTAGGTTTTAGCTTTCTGATTATGCTATTTATTTCTAGTACTTTTTCATTGGTTTATTGTTCTCTATATATAGTTATTATTGTTAATCTTTGATTTTCATATTTGACTATAGCTGAAGTGCTATGTAAAGACAAAGAATTGACATTAGTTGCTGGGACAATCAAATCTAAAAATCCTTTCCCAGTTAAAAGGAAATCCACATCAAAAAAGAGGTCCAAAAGCTCTTTAAAAAGGTAATAATAAAGACCATGAGAATAGTCATTTTGGTTTTACAATGTACTGTAGAATCTTGGTTATAATCCCTCATGTTAAGCTAACCAGCTATACTGTAAGCCCCCTCCACCGACTATAAACCCACCTGGTCATACTGGTTGAGTCTAGTTTACCAGCTCAAATGAGCACCCCTGTGCAACCTTCTAGGATTATGTGGTTATGAGGACCCTTCCCAACCCCTATTATAAGCCTACGAAAAAAACCCTTAGGAACCTGTATAAACCCAGCACTTATAACCAAGCAGGGGAGGTTCCAGGAATTTTATATGCGGGTTGACTATTACAAAGATTTAACCAGGACTTTGAGGAAATGTGAGGGGGGGGGGGGGGGTGATTGTTACTAATGGTATCCTGAGAAATTTGAGAAAAAGGGGGCTTTATTTGTCCCCTCTTTTACCACCCCTGCCAAGATTCTATAGTATGTGATTTCTGGAGCTCAATATGGAGGACAAGCCAAAGAATTTCAATCTCTTGAGAATTCGAAACCTATTGTTTTGCCCTCCAAATTGAGCTGCATTCTAATGTCCTACAAGGGGACTATTTGCTTCTTTTTTGGGGGGGAGGGTGGGGGGTGGTTCATATCAGTGAAAATCTTATATGCTTAGGCAGAAAATATTTTTCTGTTGGCTCTTTAAAAAAAGTATTCTATTCATTCACATCTTCAGCAGGCTAACAGCTCTCTGATACTGGCCATATGATTTTTCTTACAGACAGAGCATAGGAAAAAAGAAGCGAAACAAGTGGGTTATTCTATGTGATGAGGAACCGCTGAAACCTGTCCGACAAAAGAAACTATCCCTGTCCAAAAAGACTTGCAGTTCTAAGGCACATAAGAAACACTACAGTACCTCACAATGTAAAGACTCCGGTGTTAGTAGTGGAAGCAGCTGTGACAGTGGAAGTGCTAGTGGTGGAGACAGTGGATCTCATGATGGAAAAAATGGTAGAGAAGGAAGAGGAGGTGGAGGTAGTGGTGGTGGAGGTAGATTTCAAAGGAATGGAGGGATGGGTGGGGCAGGAAGAGATGATGACAGTGATGAGAAGAGGCCATTAAGTTCAGGGGATACTGAAATGAAGGACGAAGATGAAACAGAAGATGACTTAAAGGAAAGCTCTAATATGGACTGTGAAGATGATTCACTAGAGAAGCATAGTGTAGAATGGCAGGTATATTGCATGTCAATTTATCTTATTTATTTATATTTATAATTATTATAACCTTTATATTTTTTCTTTCTTGACATAATTTTATTTGTCTACAGAGTCTGCATTTCAAGACGCAGGATCTGCAACACAGTTGTTATTGTTCCAAGAATGAGGACTGTGATAGACATTTATGTGTCCAGGTTGGTGATTACTATTAAAGTATCTATTACTAAAAAGAATTTTTTTATTTTAATTTCTGGTGTTTTTTTTGTTTGCTACTATAGATGAAAAAGGAGCTAAAACACTACAAAGAAAACTTTAGCGAACAGTGTGAACGTTGTCAAAAGATCATTAACTTGCTAAAAATGCATGCTTCAACATGCCAACGGCCTGGATGCAGAGTTCCATGCTGTCTTGAACAGAGGTATATACTATATAACAGTTTTTAATTATAAACCCACTAATGGTCTATCACAAATCCTCCACTTTGATTGGCTGAGCTACTAGTGGTCTATTAATGATAGACCACACTAACAGTAGTGTAAAGTGTCAGTTTTCAAAACCAAAACAATGCAAAAAATTAATTATTTCAACCAAGTTTCTTAATTGTTTGTATCAATTTTTAGACCAATTAGTAGGTTTTTACTGTTTAGACCTTACCCTCATCTAACATTTGTCCTCATGGCCTATTGACTTATAGACCATTTGGGCTGCAGTTCTGATATTTGAAAAAAAAAACCCTGATCAAGTTATGGTAATTATAAGAGTGCTAAATATTTTTGTTTCAGGGCCAAGAAAGCAGCACTGCCTCCACAGGTTCCCAAAGATCAGTATCATAATGTTCAGAAGCCATCTCCCTTACCAYCAAGTATGGATGGCCAAGTCATATATTCAGTAAGTAACTTTTATTTTACTGGGTTACCTGTGGTAGACAAATCATAAAATACCTTGTTTTTGTCAGGAACAAAATGTTTTATGTTGTCTTATATTTCTCCACTATTATTTTTCACAGAATTCACCACACTTTGGCACACTGTTTCAAGAATACATTAATTTCCACAAAGGACAGTTACTGGGAAAAGGTGCCAATGGTAATGTTTATGAAGTCCATTTCCCACCAGGACACATACTCAAGGAAACATCAATGGTTGTAAAAGAAGTAAGTGTCAAAAGTGCATCACAAGAACCATTGCTTCCATTTAAGGATGAAAAGACAAAGCAGAAAAACTGTTTTTGGCCTTTTATTAAAAGGACTTGAATTTGAATATTTTTGCATTTGTCACATTTGTTTAGTCAACACTCTTTCAGATTCTTCCTAAAATGTTTGCTTTGTTACAGACAAACTATGTTGTCAACAAAGAGGAAATAGATGTGTATAAAAGTATGGGAAACCACGAAAACATTGTTCAGCATCACTGTGTAACATTCAAAGGAGATAAATACCAAATGGCTGTCTTTATGGAGAAATGTGGTGAGTGTGGTTAAGAAACAAGAAAGTGGAAAACCATGATGCTGTGTAAAATTGTGAGAGGACTGAGGAAATAATATACTTTGACATATTTTAAGTTTAGAATTTCAAACCAATAAAAAATCTTTGAAACCAAATTGCTGCAAATCCTGTTTTATCCTCTTTAGTACATCCTTAATTCGCATTTGTATATATATTTTAAATAATATATTACAATTGCCTTGAATTACTTGTATCATATTGAATATCATTATTTATTATGTTAGTAATCATATCCTGACTGGTTTCTACCTCCAGATAAATCTCTAAGAGACATTTGTGATGTACGTACCATGGATACCAATGAAGCCATGTTTTACTGGACCCAGGTTCTTGCAGCAGTGGGTCACTTGCATGATAAGGGCATCATTCATAAAGATATCAAAGGTATATTAGAATTGTATTGTCACATATGTTGTGACAGTAAATTTATTCATTAAATTTATGCTTGGTTTCAGCCAAAAACATCATGTTGTCAGAAATACCTGGAAAGGGAGAACATTGCCGTGCAAAGCTAGCAGATTATGATTCTGCTAAAAAGTTGGAATCAGAGTTTACCCAAAGTGACCTAAAACCTATGGGTACTCGTGGCTTTGCTGCACCAGAGGTAATCAAGGAAATAATTTATTTAAGATAGGATTAAATAGAATACATTTAACAAATTAGCAATGTCAAAAAAATAACATCAATTTGTTTTATTGAATATTTCAGGTCATAAATTCAAAACCTCATGGTCGTCCAGCAGATGTTTACAGTATGGGATGTCTGTTGCTGGAACTGCATGGTATAACCCCAAAGGAGAATTCACTTGCACAACAGGTAAGTAATTCACTGAATTGATTACATTGTAAATACCTTAATGATTCATTTCTTCGTCTAGCCAACAGTTCAACACTTGTATATGTTGAGGTCCAGTTCTAATTGTTTTAGAAAACATATATTGTGCATCTTTTATGATAAGACATTCAACACTCAGTTTCTGATCTATGATGACAATCATAAACTTTTATAATAATAATAATAATGATAATAATAACTTTATTTATTTATATAGCCCTATTTCCAAAAAAAGCCCAATAGTTTTTAACAAATATAAAAAATAGATGAATGAAAATTTACAATTATGTATCACTAACGTATTGAAATAAATAATATGTATGTATTTAAAAATAGTTTATCCAAGTATTAATTTACATTAAATTGAAATGATATCCTATAATACTTAATTTCTAAAAGACTATTACGTATATATGTATTATATCTTTATCTTTTCTGAAAAAGGCCGAATGGTGGAAACGATGAATACGATTTTTTGGAACAGTTAGAAGTTGCCTGTTTTCTCTTTTTACTTTTATATGCTAGCATATTTCTATGAAGAGAACAGACTGTTGAATTCTCTGGAATCCTTCTACTGGAAGTTCATCATTGATCTACCATCTATATTCAAGTTTGGCGCTGTGCACGCTGTTGCTGTACATGAAAATTATAACACTACATTTTTGTTTTTTTTCTGATCATTGAAATAAGCTACAAAGTTCAAAATTTCCAAAAAAAGTTTCAAAAGCAAGTGCAATCAAACAGTGAAAATGAATTATTTATAGTTGTCCTTTGATAAAAGACGAATCGAAAATCGAAAAAATTCGGTGCCGATAAAAAGGCGCCTTTACGACCTATCTTTGAGGGTAGAACGACCGACGTTTTTCAATTTTTCTTCCATCCATAATAAATAACATCCAAAATTATTCGTAAACCAGAAGCACTTGAAATTATCTATGAAATATTGCGATCAAGTCAGGGATTCAAGATCTAGTTTTTAAGATATTTTTAGTTGACTAGCGTTAGGCAATAAAATCGTATGTCGAAATGTTATTTTTAATCGCGCCAAATGGCGCCTACTGTCGCGCATTTTTTGCCTATTTTGCCCTTTTGCCCTTTTTGCAAATCGCGCCTAAATCATGAAATGTTTTTTTGCAAATCACGCGTTCAAAATTTTTTTTGCCTTTTTTGCAAATCGCGCCCTGAAAGATTTTTAAGATGATGTCAAAGATTTCACTTCGTAGTCTATCAGCATGGATCTATATCAGAGCAGGATGAACCACGAAACTCTAGATAAACTACGAGACGACAGAACGGCAGCAATTGAAGATTTGAAGGAGATCGAAACAAAGGTTGATGGAAGCCTTATGTGAATATRTATGGAAGTCCGTAGAATTTACTGGAGTCGGTGCAAGACAGTATTTGACCACGCCGGAGCACGTAGAGGATGAATTTATTCTAATTGTTAGAAATTTCACCAAGCTCAAGGAAATAACGTTTCGAGTGCTGCAGGAAATAGACACTCTGGAAGGCCAGTTCCAGCAAATGAACAGAAGATAAAATAGCCTCTTGTTTGATAAACAATCAGCAATCAACTCAGCTTACGAACACTACGCACTGCTGGCAGAAAAAACTGTTTGCGATTACTTAAACTTTCATAGTATTATCGATATTTTTTTTGACGAAGAGCTTATTTTAATATATGCTAGAAAAAATGGGGGGAAATTGGTTTTACTTCCAACAAAAATAAATATCTCGAGGTGAAATGGGCATGGGAATTTAGCCGTGTTATTTGTTACGGAAGTGCGGCATTTCTTTTGTTCTAAACAGGTTTTCTTAGAGTACGCTCCATAAAAGGTAGTGTGCATTGTTTTGGTACTGGTTTTGAAAAACCTGTTAAACAAGTTTTTATGTGAATGTAACTTCAAACGAAGTTAGTCTCGTCTTTACTAATAAGGCCCGTGCTGTTTTTTTAAGCATGGAAACAGCTATTTCTTAGACTATTAGTTAATAACTTGAACTACGCGATTTCTTATACTTTTATAGAAAAATCTAGACGATCAATTAACTTTGAAAGCATTTCCTCGCTTTTAAAACACTCCCTTTCAATTTTTCAACTTTATTACTTCCTTGGCACATTCAGATTTCCCTTTTAATAAGAACAAGCACTAGGTCACCATCCCGTTACTGATAAGCATGCTATTTTTTGTTGTTGAATTTTTGTTTATTGATAATAGATATCGATATTTTTGTTTGTTTTGTTCAATGTGAAGACGTCTGAAAGCTGTGTGAGCTGACCGGGAGTGATGTCAAAAATGAAGGCTGCAAAATAAAGACACGATGTGCACGATTTGCGCGATTCAAAAAGGCAAAAAAGGCAAAATCTGCAACATGCCCATAGGGCATGAAATGCAAAAAAATGCGCGATACRGGGCACGATTACGCGCGATTTGCGCGACAACTTTTGTGTACATTTTGACGGCAAATTGAGATAATTTTATGTACCTGACATCATTACAAATGTTTACTTGGTTAATTTCATTTTAAAGAGGTAATATGTATAAAGTTGATAGTTGTAGAACTACATTAAATTTCCTATAAAACGGAGTTRAAATCGTGGATTTTAGYGWAWTGATATGGAAATACGAGCATTTTCAAAACAATTTTTCACATCTTTTCGTGATTGTTGCCATGTACACCAACAGCGTGCACAGGGCCGTTTATATATATATATATACACAGCCACATGCAGAAATTCTGATTCTTTTATATATACACAAAAGTATATCAGAAGTATATTAGAAATTATGGGATACCATTTCTAATTTTTTCAGAAAGCCCTAGTAATAGGCAACCCGAAAAAAATATCGGGGATGATATCCCATAATTTCTGATATACTTTTGATATACTTGTATATATGTGCGAAAGGATCAGAATTTCTGCATATCGCTGTGTATATATATATCGCATATCGCTGTGTGTATATATATATATATGTATATATACTCGATTGCAGAAATGTTGTAGTATACATTAATTATACATATATCTAATTTATTCAGCATATTTAATGATATGCAAAACAGAAAAATCACTTCATTTATTGTTTGTTTCATTCAATGACTGTAAAAATAATTTTTTCTTGTCTATTAGATCGTACAGATTATAAATAATTAGTTGGTTTTAAGCGTTGAAAATGGTTATTTTGTATTATGCATCTCATTAGATATTTGTATAAATGTATAAATTTATACTACAACGTAATCTGCAATCGAGCGTGTATACATATATGTATATATCAAATTATACTTAAGCAAACTCCTCCTTAAAAAGATAAGTCTTAATTAAGAACTTAAAACTGGAAACTGAGCCAGCAGTCATTGTCATCCTTATTCTTCATCATCGTCATGAATATCAACATCACTATAGCATATTCTCTCATTCATTTATTATTTTCTGTACTTTTATGTAGGTTGRACAGCTTTATAACAAAGACCCAAACCAAGCACAGCTAGTGGCCCACTGTGTACAACATGTGAGTTCATTTAATGTACATAAACCATTACAATATTTGTTTTGAGACCAGTATATGTTAAACTGCAAAAACATGCATTTACAGTAATGATAAAAGGAAATATGAGAAGCCATTTTCTGTACATGATTTATTTGTTTAATATTTCAATCAATCTCCAGCGATCATCATCAGCCTGAATTATAATTATAAAAACGGATGCAAGGGAGGCTAGATGTAGATCCTATAGGCTAAGATGGCCTTTGAGTAGCAGAATTTTGTCAAATCAGGCTGTTTTTGTCAGGAATTACAACAAATATCTATTTATTTCAACAAGAATGAAACAGCATGCATATGGATTGTGTATGGAGGACACATGGCTACAAAAGCTTCTCTCTCTCTATACGTATATATATATGAACAATAAATTTATTTATTCCAGGATTACTACAATAGGCCAACTGTAAAGCAGCTGATGAACCTGTCCTATGTCCAAGAATTCCAAAGAATTCCAGGTGAGGTATCAAATTCTCTTATTAATAACTGAACTTTGTATTAACAAGTACTAAGTAATAAATAAGAAATATCTTTGTGTTATTTTAATGTGATTCTGATTCAAGGTCAAGTTGGGGAAGATCTGGGCCCAGTTGTTCAAAGCCCGATTAGTGCTAATCCTGGGTTAACTCTTAATAAAACCTATAGAGTTAATCCTGGATTAGCGCTAATCCAGCTTTGAACAACCCGGTCCTGGGTATAAAATTAAAGTCTACTGTACCAACAATATTAACTGAAGAACCCAAGTTAAGTTCTTTTTTATTACATTTCAGACCAGCTGTAAATACTACATGCTACTTTAGATGGACATGCAGTTCTCCTTATTTTTTTGCTGGATCCAAGTCAACGGATATTGATAACAATAATAATGGTTTTCAAGGGTTTTAGGGACATTATATGTAGTCTCTATGCACTTATTAGATGGAAGAAACTTGAAGCAAACACTTGGCTTACTTAAGTTAGGAGCATCAATAGAAAGTTTTCTCAAGTTTGCATGGACATTCAACTTGACGGGCCACAAAACTGAAAAACGCAACCGAATTCTTATCGAAAAAAATTTATGGCAATGCATGATAATACTCATGTTCTGCCCGTCAAGTTCCTTCAATTTGGATGTGCATGCAACCTTGAGAAAACGGTCTATTAGAACTTAGCATTTTAGGTTTAATAAGGGACAAAACAGAAAAAGCAAGACAAAAACCTGGAATTTAAAAAGACCCCTCCCCCCCTCCCCCCCAAAAAAACATAATTCCCAGGTCAAGGAATAAAACTTAGTCTTCAGTGGGACATTATATACCTCCAATGTTCCTTACTTAAGGTGACTGCCTACTTTTGGAAATTGATTTAAGCTTTTTTTAAAACTTCGATTTTCCGAATTGAAATTTAATGCTGATTCCAAATCTGGAAAGAAAAATAGGGTGTCCCGAGCTCGTTTTCGAGATAATCAGCATTTAATGGAAGCCTACGCASGAGCTTTTGGAGTAAAAATTCCGCCACCGGAAG